TGTAAGTATCTCATTGTAAGGACTATAAGTAACTAGTGTAAATTTAAAAATTAAAAACAATAAAGGCAACAGAAAAATATTGTTGTAAGTACTGTAAGTATTTTTAGCAGTGTAAGTAGTGTAATCAGTGTAAGTTTTATAAGTGTAGTAAGACCTCCGTTATACGGACACCTAAGGGACAGAGCAAAGTATCCGTAGCAGAGACGGACTCGTCCTCAGTCCTCTTCATAAAGCGCGCGACACGGCGCAAGGAAAATAGTTCGAGGGAGCAAGGGGTGGTGAGACGGGGCTTTCTCACCCTCGCGCTGAATGTAGAGGTCACTGTCGAGGTCACCACGACCTGGCGTTCAGTAACAAAAAACAGGCCCACACTGGCAATTGCATCTATACAGCATTGAGACTACGTACTACCACACTGTACATCTTGGTTATATACAGTATACGTATCATTGCTTTGAAATGAAGTAAAACGCGATTACACCATAAAAAACTAAAAAGTAATTCTAAAGTACACTTCTGAAACATGTCTCGATAGTTTGCAGCAGTAGCCCATATTGAGCCTTATAAACTAGATCAAACTAGAGTGAACTATATGAGACAATCTTAAATAATAAATAATAATAAGTAACATCTATATAGCGCTAATTCCGTGTAGTCCATGAGCACTTCACAATTTAAATGAGTCATTTAACTTTAAAAAGTCTGTAACAGTCTACTTAGCTCCTACTAACCGAGCAGGAGGTCTGTATGGGAGCAGAATCTTGACCGAGGTTTTGAGTACAGACCGAATGCAGTGAGGTCTGTACACACGACGGAGGTCAATAATCTCCCATACAGACCGACTAAGCTCGGTTAATAAGNCTAAAGTACACTTCTGAAACATGTCTCGATAGTTTGCAGCAGTAGCCCATATTGAGCCTTATAAACTAGATCAAACTAGAGTGAACTATATGAGACAATCTTAAATAATAAATAATAATATGTAACATCTATATAGCGCTAATTCCGTGTAGTCCATTAGCACTTCACAATTTAAATGAGTCATTTAACTTTAAAAAGTCTGTAACAGTCTACTTAGCTCTTACTAACCGAGCAGGAGGTCTGTATGGGAGCAGAATCTTGACCGAGGTTTTGAGTACAGACCGAACGCAGTGAGGTCTGTACACACGACGGAGGTCAATAATCTCCCATACAGACCGACTAAGCTCGGTTAATAAGATGTTCACTATATGGCAAGCAAGAAAAATTTAATTCGTTGACGTATAACTGGTTTGTACTAGCTAACATTTTGCTTGCGAACGGCGATGAGCCGAACTTAATTCTGCCAAAGGTTGCTCGTCTTCTATCCCTTTTTTCTCATCAGGCTTTTTGGCACTTCCATGAATAAATATTGTTCAGAGAAAATAGTCAATATTTTTGCATTTTAGTTTGCAACTTCTTCACCGCAAAATGGAACTGGTCCAGATGGGAAAATCTAGACCGCTTTCAATATCGATTTCAGCCAATCAACTTCGTGAATTCGGTACAGTTCCCAGTCCTCAGTTGTGAAACACAGCCATGTAAGGCTTAGCTTCGCACTTTCACTTTTCTTCTCTTTGATCATCTTTGGTCACCTGTTGTGGTGTTTTATTTCAATTTTCATGAATCTCCAGTTGCGTTGGTGTTTGTGTAAGTTCAAACCGGAAATTGTATCACATTCACAAACAATCATCAGCTCAGTGATTACCGTAATAAGAAGGTTAACTTTTATATGAATTTGCTCTCTGGGGGCGAGATTTTGTGTCCGTTGACCGTATAAGAGAGGGTCCGTATGAGATTTCTTTTGACGAAAATATATGAGAATTTTGTCGGGGCATAGGAAACTGTCCATAATAGAGAGGTATGGTAGTCCCCCCCGGGAAGGAAGGTTGGACTGTCATATTGTAAGTAGTGTAAGGTTAGTACAGCTTAATTCAATAATATAACGGTCACCCTGTATATAAATGTCACCTGGACATTTCCCATTCCCAAGGGCGACCGATTTATTGTCGGGTGAATGCTTGTACATGTCATCAAAATAGGAAAAGCCTGACAATAATTAACTTGAACAGCACCATGTCATTTCCTGTCTTGAAAGGTTCCAGTATTTTATATAATTTTAGGATCCTCAAGTTCTACGTGGCTCTCGGTTGCTGAGGTATTCTGATTCTGGTGACAATTGAACTACTGTTCAAACCCTTACCGCCCGAGTCTTTGGAGGGTTTGATCATAAGGGACGTGATGTTCGCCGAGATTTTATGCCGAGAGTGGAATTCCATTCGTGTGAGATTTTGGAGTATAGGTTACAAAAAGCGGCTTTTTCTGTCGATCCTTGTGCTATTGGTGCTCGGGTGCTTGGCTGTTTGGACTTCTTTCTTTGCGGACTTATCGGATCTGAACATAACACAAGAGAGGCAAGATGGCATAAACGATAGCTCACAATGGGATCAATGGGTTAAAGAAAATGGCTTGAAGGCTGTTGGAGACATCTGGGACAGTTGCGGTGAGGTCGCCTTTGAAAACGTGTTTGTGATCAACAGTTAACAAATTCTCTATTTTACAGGAACGAACTTTAAAAAATGATGTTCAGAAACTGTACGCGTAGGATAAAATCTTGATAGTTTGTTTTGACATCGACGATAATTTTTTTTATCGATTAATCGTTATTTTGCCCTTGCAGTTTATTTGCGCTTCTAGCTCTATTTCTGGATTTTTTCCTCTTTTATAATAGCAATTAGTGTTGACGTGTATAAACTTTGCTCCATCAGAATTTATTGTGCTTTACGCACGCAATCTTTCAAAATTTGTTCCAATCGAGGAATTTCTATTTCTTTTCAGATATTTTTTCTTGTCTCTTAAAGTCATCGCTAACAAAATAGAAGGAAAAATTACGTGTGGTCTTCCATCGCTCAAGATGCTGGAGAACAATTTCCTGTTTTCCTCTAAAAATAAAATAGGATTTGCCTGGAAGAAAAAGGTCAATGTCAAATGAGACATCAATTTCAATACGTGACGCGCATCCGTCACGTCACGCAATCCAAAAGCGCCCGTTAAAATTTTCGCATCCCGGAACGGAAGCAACCTCAAACCTTATCATTACAGAGCTGTTTTATATTTATTTTTATATATATATATATTCTAAATATAATTTTGTGGTAACTGCGGAAATTCTCGCGCGCTCATTGGCTAATTTTCATTGTCAATAAGCGGACAGACAAATGAATTTGTAAATTATGAGATGCGTCAACGAGCGAGAGCGGACAATTTGACAATTTGTGTATTGTAAAAAACAAATTGACGTCAGTTTTTAATGCGTTTGTCCTGTTATTGACAATTAATTTCGTCATAACATTCTCAAAGTAGTCTGCGGATCCACTCGGCTATCGCCTCGTGGATCCACAACTACTTTGACAATATTATGACGAAATTCATGATCAATAACAGGACGGAGGTTTCCTTCATACAAGAAGTTTCAGGCATACACACCTCTCTGCATTTAGATACAGATTAACTAAATATGGCTTTGTGAGACCGAAAAGTTTCCGGAGCTTTCGAGAAACGGGCCCCTGGCCTCTCGGGGTATTTTGCGAACAAGTGAATATGGTACAAAAGAGGAAATGCAAAATGCAAAAATTTAGGGGTTGAAGGGAACATGTAGCCCTAGGGTACATACGAAATGCAAAATGACGTTTCTTGAACATTATGGCATGTTGGGAGAGCTGCAAAAGGAAGTATTTTGTTTTATTTTTCTGCTTTGCTATAGTTAATTTTAAGCAGAGGTAATGCTGTTCAACTTTTTTGGGCTGGGCGACCACTCCCTAAGTTTTTAACAATAAATATAAATAATTTATGTGACTAATAACCATTGTTTACTGTTGTCACTGTGCCAACACTAAGACAAAGAGAATGTATAGTCAATCCTGCTTTGATTTGCAGACCACAATGATTCACGGAAAAAGATAGGAAAAGTGATCATCCATTACGATGCGGAACAGAAACGAGTTATTGGAACAGCAGTTGCAAATTTTACAGCAAGTAAGATCAATGTTGATTGCTGTTAGCAGCTAATTGCGTTACGAGTGTGAGATGCATGAAAACTTGAGGCACAAAGATCCACAATATCGAGAGGGGATAGCATTCTGGTTCCATTTATATTGTGTCCTGTCCCCCTCATTGGCAGGGCCTTTACGCAAACACAAGGTGACTCTTGGAACAAGATTTGATTGTCTTGAAAACCAGCATTGTGAAAATCTAGGTCTAAGAATCTAGCCAATCATATCATGTGTCTCCTGAACTGCTTTTTTTTTTCTTTTGCCAAGGCCCCACGGGATAAGAGAGACAAACGGCTATGGAAACTAATCGGGGGAGTGCTATGTAAATAGAAAAAGGGGTCTCTTTTTATTTCCTCCCCTTCCCTTCCCATGTTTTTTCTCTCACTTTACATGGTTCCAGACTGAATTCCATAACCACAGGTTTTTAAACGCCTCTTGCAACAACTGCAATTTAATGTTAACCACATAGAAAGTTTTGAAATCTGGACCTTTTGAAAATACTCAGTTATTCCAAGAACCAAATGTTTTATTTTCTTTCTCGAACACTATTGTAGAAGCGACCCTAAATGGTGGTATAGTGCATGTAGTAGCACAGTTCCATGGCCGAACCCTGCATGATGTTAAACACAATGTCTGCAAAGTGGATGCAAAAAGCTTTGGCTGTCCAATGCATAAAGGTAACAAATATAAATAGCTATCATTTCAGGACCAGCCTTAGCTGCCCACCCTAAAGGGAGTAACATTGCAAACAAACAAGGAAATTCAGCTGAAGCAACTATCTCTGTCCATTTCAGGGACTAGATGTGCCCTTCTTTCATTGGAGTCTGTTGTGGGATAGTTGATTCTAGGTCTAGGCCTGAAAAGTCAGTTGTCTCCTGCTGTCAGCCTAACCATAGGTGAAGGTGAAAGACTAAGGGGGGGGGGGGGGGG